CCCAGAAGATGTAAAAAGAGCTGGTGCTAGTGCAAGATCAGGTGAGAAATCTTCATAGCAGTCAACGTCACTTTTCATGGAAGGCATCATGGTTATTACTGCATCATTGCACAAAATCATCTCTATAAACAATGCTCTTTATCTGAGCTGCCTTGTAAGACTTGGCTAAGCAGATGCATCCTTGTAACTGCACTGTTCCAACCATAATGGTAAAATTGGCTGCGTTTCTTAATAAAATTATTACTCCTATTTTTTCCCTGTGTGCCTGAGCCATTTGTAGTGACTTCAGGAATAATTGGAATGATGTGTGACACACAGAAGCATATTGCCAGGAGGATGTGGGATATTGTAGCCTCCAAGACATCTTGTTAGAGCTTGGAGAGCAAACATGCAGAGTAGATTGCTTATATCTTTGACACAGTAGATGGACACGGTGCTCACTTGTGACCATCTAAACTAAAGTCTATGTGTTTGCAAGGCCATGCCGGGTGCAAACAAAACCTGTATGTTCTTTCTGATTCTGCATTTGAGAGGCTCTCCTTTTTATTTTTTGACTGAGTCTGCTCAGCTGAGTCATGCTGTTACTCACTTCGGGACTCTTTCTGTACTTTGGTACACAGGAAGGTCATGTAGATTATTCCAGTGGTAGCAAGTTGTCAGATACGTTGCCACAGCCAACTACCTGAGTATTATCAGAGGTCTGAAATAATGCAAAACAAAATGTAGCCCCAATAAATAACAGCGTAGATAGGTCTTGGTAGCATGCATGTTAAAACTGCATTAACTCTGATGGCAATAGGAGCAGCTGGCAAGTCTGTGTTTTATAATCATGAAACTCCTTCTCCTGGCCAGAAATAGCAGCACACCTTGAAAATAGTTTTATTAAATTTTATTACTAAACCTAAGGAAACTCACACATGTTGGCACAAAGGTGAAGGACAGTGCAGAGATGCAGCGTTCAAGAGGTAACACAGAACTGAGTTATATTTCAGGGAGGCACTAGTGAAGGCAAACCATGACCCCACCCCAGCAGTGTTTGATTGTCTCCAGTTTTCTGTGGATTGTGCAGTAAGAGAAATCTGCTGTTTCTGCCTGTCCCCATACCATGTTCCAAAGATCATTCACAACCTAGATGTGGGAGGTATTTTGGCTTTATTATAGGTTATCAGTTTCAAATATAATTGATTTTCTTACAGGTCACCACTTTTTCAGAGAGCTGCTGCTTGTACACAGAAGGGATTTTTCTTGGGCCTATATGATGCAGAATGGGCATGTTTTTAGCTCAGTGTCAAAGAGACAAGAAATTAAGCCCTGCAGTGTATAGCTTTCATGTTTTTTTTCTCCAAGACAGGCTACCATTTCTTATCTGGCTCTGACTTCTATCTTCTTAAGATAAGAAATGTGATCTAAAAATGAATTCAAGTGAAGATGTTGGGCAGCACATTGGAAGGCTGAGAAGGCCTTTGAAGTTTTCTTAAAAGCTCAACCTGACTGAGAGTCAGCTATTGGCAACAGCTAAAGGATATTGACAACCCATGACTTTCACTCCCATCAATGATGTTTTGTCTAAAATTTTCAGATTTCAGGTGTGAAACCAACAGCAGATTTTTATAAAAACCAGAATCAGTAATAATGGACTGAGGATAACTACCATACTCATTCTGCCTTTGGCAAATATTTTAGTGACCCCATTTCATTTGGATGAAACCACATTTTAAGACACTTTAAGAAATTACCCCTCAATTTGAGCTCAGTGCATATTCAGGAAGGGGCAGAAGGGCAGCTCTAGCTTTTTGTCAGTAGAGGTGATGGCCCTCATCTTGCATCCTGGAAAATGGTTTTGCATTACTAGAATATCAGTCATAGCCAACTGCAGCAGTGGCCTGTCATTGTAATGTGGCTTAGTGCATTCAAAAAATGAAATGTAACTTTATGTGAAGTGGATAAAATAGCAAATAAGCAAGTGTGCTAACAGCTCATATACTAGTTTGGTCACGTTGACAAAAAGGGCCCAACAAAGGGGGAGTTTAAAAGGATTTGAACTCATCTGCCTCTGATATACAAAAATTTCCATCTGTTGAGTTCTCGTTGTCTTTAAATTAGAGAAGAAATATTCAGGTAGTAGGATTTTTGAACCCAAACAACTACTTCCAACAACCATTGCAAGACCTGATTTCTTGCTAATAAGTGAGAGGGATCACTAAGTGACACAGGACAAAGTTCACAGCATTGAATTTTTCTTAAGCTGTTTCATACTGCCAGGAATTGCTCTGGAAATCACCTAATTTTCTAGGCTCTCCTCACCTACAGGAGAGAGCTGAATATACTTGGAACCTGCTTCATATCACATGGAAGACTAGTTTTCAGCACTTAGCCTAATGGAGTAAATAGATTTACAGAACAATTGTCTACTTTTCACCTGCAGCACTTTGAGGTTTATACTGATTGAAAAAATAATTCACCATACAAAACTAGATCTTGGAGTAGTGCAGAAATGATTTGATGAACAGAATGAGTTTCTATTCATTATCCCACTTTAATGTCTAGAAATGTGTAATGGTTGCTTTTCCTTGATACCGCCACACATGTGGTGGAAGCAGACAATGACAAAAGAGCCTCCTCCTGCACAGCAGAGAACTGCAGGGCTGAAAAGGGCTTAGAGACTTGTCTCTATTAAATTGGAGAGATGAGAGAATTTGTCCATTTGCTGGAAGAGAAAGGATTTGACCCTTATACTAAAGTTGTATTAGTGTAAAAGGATCTTCCCAAGAAAATGTGTATTTGTTGACCTGCTTTTTGTAGCCATTAGTTTGACATTCAGAAGGTTTAGAGACGTAAGGATGATGTCTAAAAAAAACCTGAATGCTGTTTTAAATGTGTTTGCACTCTAATGCCACTGCACAAAACCCTGATGCACCTGAAAAATGTGTTGTGACTTCGAGTTAGTATCTTGTGTGCCATCTGAAGGACCTTTTCCCATAGTTTGTTAGGCTCTGCACTTCATTAGAGAAATCTTCACCAAAACTCTAAATCCTGGCAGATTTCCTAGCAGAATCAATCTTTTGAGGATCTGGGTGATCAGTAATGACAAAAACAGCCTTGGTATTAGCATTGCACTTGATAAATTGCAGAGATACAGGTTTCACTTACATTTGTCAGCAGTGCCTTTCCAGTGAAGTGCAAGGTATTTGAAAAATTACCTCTAATGTTTCAGGCTAGGGAGGGAAGTACTTTTTCAAACTATGAGAACGTTTCCCTCAAGCACCATTAAACCAACTGGGGAGAAAGGAAAGCAGTACAGGGGTGGGAGTGCACTTGAGTCTCTAAAGAGCTGAATAGCCACATGCCAAATTATTTTAAGTTTTATTCCTCTGATCCATGCCATGTAATGATAAAGTGGTTTTGTGAGCCACAAGAGAGTAAGAATTTATTTTCTTTAAAGCTGACCTTTCTTGGCTGCTGTATCTGGGGTGTCCTAGTTCTCATCTTGTGCCTTAATTGTGTGTGTACTATGGTGGATCCTGCCCATCTTCTCTCACATCCTCAATGATGTGTCTACAGAACCTGGAGCAGGTCCCCATTCTCTCTCTTTCTCTGCATCCCTTATCTCTCCTGCAAACACAGTTACCACCTGTGTGGTGGGTTACTCAGCTCTGTCTTGCCTCTGCTCTGTTCCTTTTGTCCAACCTAAAAGTCAGACTGAGGCTTCAATATTTTGCAGTGGGGTGACTCGTGACGTGAAATAAAAACAGCTTTTTGTTGTCCTCAGGGTCTTCTTTGCTGCCCCCTTCTTTGAGGAGACATTTGCCCCACCTGTCACTGCTGCCAGCAGGCTAAATTCCAGTGTCATTGGAGGATGCTGCTCCAGGATAGGCATTTCCAGAGGGCTAATTTTTCCATCTGTTTCCAGCATTGTCTTCTGATTGTTACAATCAGAAGATGTGAATGCTACTACAAAACATTGGTTTTGGGGTAGAATTCACATAGATGGAGAATGAAGTGAAATGTGACCTGTGTTATCTCTGCTGGCTCTTCAGTAGGGAGATTAGCAAAACGTTGTTGCTGCTAAACAATTCTGGTTTTCTTTGAATACTGGATGTAAACTGGAAGATGTAATGTGGACTTTAAATGGCAGGTTTAGATAGCAAGAGTTCAAATGTTACCTGCACTGATCTTGCTGCTAGATCAAAGGCCCTTGCAGCTCACAGAAGTGGGACACTCACAAAGTGGGATTTTTTTTTACCCATTTACAAGGTCTTATATCTGTGGCACTTTTGGTGAAAATATAAAGCACAGAGTGAAAACAAAATAAAAACTGTCACTGAATTACTGATAAGAATAAACCTCTTTCTGGAAGGTGACTAGACTCAGCTATGGATGGAGGAACCAGTAGGATGTTTCCCTGGGCTGGATGAGGCCCTCTGCAGTGACTACAGATTTTGCAGTGGGGTGGGATGTGTCTTTCCTGCTATCTTCTCAGCATCTGCTCCCCACCTTCTGTGACTGTTCAAATTGCCCTCTGGATTTTGGCTCTCAACCACACTGTCTTTCAGAAATTACCAGCTTCCTACAGCAGGATGAGCCCATCTCCTCTGTGTCTTTTTTCTTGTTGTAATGCCACCTCAAAGGAGGCCAGACATTCCCTGGATTTTTGGCAGTTACTGCTGTGTGATCCAAGTAGGGCATAAGGTATAAAAGTTAATGAGTATATTTCATAGCTCGTTTCTGAGAATGACAGAAGGAGTTTGACAAATTTGGAGATCTTTCCCAGTGACAGACTATGCTGGATCCTGATGTATTTAGTCTAGGTGATCTACTAGTACAAAAATGTGCTTCACATTCCAACTCCTAATTGGAAAAAAAACCTACCATTCTCCATCTGTACTCAGACAGATAAAGGGGGATTGAAGACAAACTGGTCCAAAAAAAAAAAAAAAAAAAAAAAAAAAAACTGAGGGAAGGGAACTATGTGCTGAGTCAATCTTTGTTTCTAACTCTAGGTCCTTCTTCAGTTATCAGCAATGACGACGATTCTGCCAGTCCCCTCCACCATATCTCAAATGGCAGTAACACTCCATCTTCTTCTGAAGGCGGTCCTGACGCAGTCATCATTGGGATGACAAAGATTCCTGTCATCGAAAATCCCCAGTATTTTGGAATTACCAACAGTCAGCTCAAGCCGGACACCTGTAAGTACAAACAGCTGTTTGTGTTTCAGTCATTCACTTTACCTGTGCAAGTGCTGGGGCTCCTGAACAGAGATAACAGAACAAAATGCTCTAAATTCCTGGTAGATGAAGGCTGGGGTTAAAACGTATGCAATTTGTTGAAGGTACATGGAATGAACTGCTTTACGTCTGTCAAAGCCAAATTCAGCCCTTGTGATGACTCAATAAAGTCAGCAGTGTTAAGCTCAAAGCCCAAACCATATTCCATCAAAGTCACCAGTAGCCTTTCCATTGATTTCAGTGGTCTTTGGCCGGTCCTGTGCACTGAATGTGTTCTTGGGAGAAAACATATCCTGGGTCAGAAGCAGAAGTCAGTATTGTTACATACACACTGCTTTTAAATTTATCATATTGGCAATGAACATAACCTAACTTTGAAATCTCAGTATTTGTCAAGTTGTAAGAATGATAAGGGTTAAAACTTCAGTTCTTTTAATTTCATTGTATAGTTCATACTCTACAGCAGAAGGTTGCATGATGGACAATAAATGTCACATGCAAATTATTTCATGTTCAGTTAGAAGCAGGTTAAATGTGAAAAAATATGAAGAGTTAAACGTGGTTCACTGATAATAGATAAAAAAGAGTACCCCTAACTTCAGATGCCACTCTTCAAACCTCATAACTTTTAGAACTGGACATGTGAAATGTTGGGTTTTGAACCAGTGATTAGCATTGCAGCAGATAACTGAAAAAAATACAGAAAGGATATTGTGATTAATAGTAACTGCACTGTTTACTATTTTTCATCAGCACATAAAGGTCCTTAAGTGTTTCAGAGAAGGTTGTTCCTGCCTATTTTTTGCTCTCTTTTTTTTGTGTGAACATACATATATTTTTGAAGCGTTACTTGAAGCCTGAGGTGTTTCTCTGGGAAGTCACTCTAAAGATTCCCCATATAGCTGGTGAGCACTGGGCTTGCAACTAAGGGACACTACATCCTATCTGTATCCTACTCTGAATGATACCACTTCATAGCAAACTGTAGTCTAGGGGCTTGCTGCCCAGGTCAGAAACCTTTGCGAAACTTAAATTTCATAATAGGAATTTTTCTTGACCTGTACACGAGGGCATGCATGCATATGCGTGACTTCTAAGGTTGCAAAGACTGATGCTGGACTACCTAAGTATCTTGTGAATGTTAGTACTCATCTACATCTAGATTGTTGCACTAAGGACCATCCACAGAAGGATGTTTCTGCAATGCAACAGAAGGTCTTTTTCTTACTTTCCATTGTACATCACTGATTTTCGCTCTTACCATAGCTTTTTTATGTGGCACTGTTTTGTGATTAGAAATGTCCCACTATCTCTTCTGCCAGAGGGTATTTGAATAATCTATCTTAGCATATGCAGTGGGATAAGTGAGGTAATCACTGGATTGCTGGTAATTAATCAGAACAAGGAAAATGTTATACAGATGCATTTTGATTAGAACATTAATTCCTGTGAAGAATGAAGCTGCTAGGGAATCAGAAGTGGGCAACATGCCCACTGGAGCTCTCTAATGTTATATAAAAGGCTATGCTTTTAAATATGAGGCTACTGTACCTCCATTTGCAGCTGCATTAGACAGCATTATAATTGCTTAAATAAACATCAGTGACTTCAGAGTATTTAACTTTCAGCGTTAGTGTTGAAACAACATACATACTGTTCTGGGGAAAAACCTAAACTGTACCAAAACACAGAATTCTGTCACATTTAGTAAGCTGCACATTAAGTACAGACACATTAAATCACAGCTGACTAGTGCTAAGTAGGTCCTGATCCTAAAAATACATAAGTCTGTGTTTTGTTTTGTGTGCTGCAATGAAACCCACATGGTGTCAGGGAAATTAATCACAGTTCATGAAGTTTGTGCATAAATGCTTGCAGGATATGGCTCAAGACTTTGCTGTTGTCCTCCGGGGAAGTTTGTGGGGCTGATGCTCTGCATTCTGCCACATTGCCATGGTGGTCCCAGTCTTTGTGTTTTCATTGATTTAGCAAAGAGAATCAGGTAAACTGTGGCAGTGTATAAACCAACAGAGATTTCTCCTACCACACTGAGCATCTGTCCAATCAAGAGCATAATCAAAATTGTCTCAAACAAGAATGATCTTCCCATAAATAATTTCACATACACTCTCTTTCCATCTCTCTCACTTGCTTATTATTACAGAGCTTCACTTGCCCATTCTTAACCTGCCAACCTACTCTTGATGTGTATAACTGGTATTTATAAACCAAAAAGCTAAGTAGCTCTCATAATGCCAGCAGCAGATGTCATCTGGTTTCTCATCTCCAGCAAGATAATTAACATTTATGTTTATTTCCTATCTGGTCTAAGATCCATTGTTGGCTAGCATTACACACAGCAATCACTGACAGTTATTCTGGAAAATATTATTACATATTTAGCATATGTTGGTCTGTGGAAGGAGGTGAGACTTTGAGCTAGGTGAAACTCTACACAGATCATATTACAGTTTTCACAGAAGCTGAAGGAGTATGTTTGCTGCTACCGAATAACTAAATCCCAAAGAGTGTTGTCTGCTAAAGAGTCAGTCTCAGGCTGAAAGTTATAGCACTTTCCTCCTCTTGAGAGGTGGCTTTCAAGGTGGGAAAAGCAAACTGATGAAGACCAAACACCCATCAACTTGAGGGCTTCAGTTCCCGTCATCACTCAGACTGAATTTCTGTCCCAGGTTCTGTCACAAATGCTTGTCTGAACCTTTAATTGACATAACGGTAGAAAATTACTCTTCATCTTCCAGCTGGGATGGGCTGATATTTCCCACTCCAGCTGCACATCATCTTAACTACCCATTTTCCTTGCCAGCAAACCTACTGATGCTTCTTCAGCACTGGTCTTTCTGACACCCTGTCCCAGGACTCCTGCCTTTTCCTTTCCCTGCTATGTACCCTTGGTTTTGCTAGCTGGTGGGCTCATCTTCCACTCGCATATGTTCACCTTGAAAGCTTACAGTCTGTGGTGCACAGACATTTCAGACGCATACCAGTATTCTTGGTTCCTTTTTGTGTGAAATCAAAAGGTATTTCCTCTTTGACAGTACTTGGCTAATAGTGACAAGTACATCTGATTTCAGATATATGAGAGAGAGTCCGCAGCCTGGAATTGGTGAAATCGTCTTTGTACTTAAGTCATTATAAACCAGGTTGTGCTATATCAGCATCAGACTGCAAACCTCTTGCCTGGGAATTACCCACAGTGTTCAGTGGTTGATTTTGAAAATTGGGTCGTAACTTCATAGTGAAGTAACATCATGAGGTGCAAAAACCTTGCATGGATAGCAAACCTTGCAAAGATTTTTGTCCCCTGAAATCAACTGGACGATGTAGTGTCTTGTGGGCAGAGATGCTAACTATTGCTAGATGGTTAGCTTCACTAGTCTTATGAGTTGTCACAGCCCCTAAGCTATTTTATATTTTCACCATGATATTAACAAAATGGTATTTATAAATATATATAAAATATCGATGTTTATATATTTTTTTATTGAAAATTTTGATATTTAAAAAATTAAGTCTTCTACATGTCAGCACAGAATTTATAGCTGCTAAAGTTGCCAACTGAGCCTACCAGACCTGTTGAAACAGGACAGAAGAAACAAAGCCATTTTCCCTGTGACTGGCTATGGTCTTTCTTCATTCATCACTTAGCTCACAGCCCAGGGCTTGGAATATATCAGCCCACTACTATAATATTTACGTGATTAAAGGTGAAAATGCAGTCAGTAAATAACATTGTTGTGTTGTTAGTAATGTGAAAAGCAAAACCTGACATGAGTGCTTGCATAAAACCTGAGTGGAAGTGCCAAGGTTGAGACCTGGGTAAGAAACTGCTTGCAGGTGGTTTGGGGATTTTAGGAATAAAATTGTTCTCTGAATCTCACCCCAATAACTCTCACCCCCACCCCCCAAAGTCACTGTGGTTGTTTGGGTGCAACTGAAAGGAAGTCTGGAGTTTTGCCCTGTCCTGGGGAGGTTTGCAAACTCCAGGTTTCAGGCCCCCTAGGGTGGGTAAATAGCTGCACTGACATCAGTTTGCACTTGCCAGATAATCTGTGCTTGCACATTACTTGATTTAATCCCTAAAGATATTATCAATGATGGAAAATAGTGTAGTAGGCAGGCTTGTTGATTAGGCAGTGAGTGGTTTAGTGGCAAGATGTTTTCAATCTCTGGCCATACATATAGCCATTGCATTTCAGATGATGTGGTGTGGATAGTGATTTTCATATAGGAAATTTGGGTATATTAATGAGATAGTCTTAATATTTTGTCCATATTTTTGCAGTTTGGGATTGTGTTCCTTCAAGTACAGGAGTATGAATATGCAGTTTAGATAATAATTGTTATACTCCCAGTTGGCCTCTGTTAGGGAAAGTCCGCAGCTCATTACAAGTTGGTAGAAATATTTTTTGTAAATTAATTTTGATTTATTTTGCTGATCTGAAAATTACAGTCTATAGCTCTAGTTCCACAGTTAAATTGCTAATTGCATGTGTGATGCTAATTTTAAAGGCAGAAATTTTGAGAGCATCCCTTTTCTATCCCATATTGAACACTGGAATTTTCAATTTATGCTTAGGGATTTTCATTTACATATTAGAGATTGTTACACCATTTAGTTAAAGGTGAGCTCAACCTTTTTGTGACTTTTCTTGTTCTTTAACTATAGTTTTCTTTTTGACATACACATAGCCAGACTTTGGTTGTCCCCATTAGGCAGGAATGTTGCAGAAATGCTCTGTTACAGTCCACCATCTTCTTCAGTGACTTTTAAGTAGGAAAAGAAATAGGAGTGTTATTCTTAACATTTTATCATAACTCCCACAGTACTGGATGTTTTTCTTTAAAGCTGTAGGTCTTGGAGTCTGGTGATGATGTCAGGTTTCATTTTGGAATGAAAAAAATGTGAAGAAAAACTTGACAATGTGAGACAGACCCCAGAA